TGTTCCACTTATTTAGCTTACCTTCGCTTACTCGTTCGATCTTTCCTCGTACCGCGAATCACGTTCCACTCCTTAGAATTCTCAGCCCCTTTCGTCCACCAACAACCCCTCCAACAAATACGACAGACTTTGTAGGAGTGCTCTTGCATCCTCACTTGACAGTACCCGCCGATAGACTTTAACGAATAGCGAGTAGCTGGCGTGTCGTGTCGAACGCGATTGAATTCGAATGCGAAAAAAGGAATAAATGTGCGACACACAACGAGATTGATACAATTTGGAAAAATTTGTATAATCAAATTTCACTCACAATACACTTGGGAGATTAATTTTCTAATCTCGATAGACTTTGAAACGAGCGGAAGAACACACTGGAGAATTTTCTTCATTCGACAGATGCAAAGGCGCTGCGAATTTCATCGCGCTTCGACACACACATTGCTGCATAATTTATCTTCCGACAAAACCACGGATCGAAATCATCGGAACGCCCAAAATCGGAACGTCCAAATCTTTCGTTCAGAGTAAAACGTTTAAGACACACGCGGACTGCGCTCAATAGCGAGTAAGAGATAAGAACAAGTCGATGTCGGAAAGAAGATTGTCTAACTTTAGAAGCCGCCTCGCATAGTTACGCGCTGGAAATCCGATCGCGCTGTCGTAAACAAGCGATTTTGCTCAGTCTACCGAGCGACGGTAATTTGCACGTAACGAGCTACATAACGGAACTTGCACGGGGGGGAATCGAATAATTATCGATTACAAAATTTTCCCGGCTCTCTCGGGGGATTTTCGAGATTGTGAGTTCTTTCCGCGGAGAACAATAACAGAAGAAGACGATCGCTCATCCTTTCTCTCTCTCTCTCTCTCTCTCTCTCTCTCTCTCTCTCTCTCTCTCTCTCTCGGAGAGACTCTCCTTTCGTTTTCCCGCGTGCGCGCGCGGTCGCAGTACATTACGATGTACAATGTAATACGATATAATTACAATACCGCGGTTTCGACTTCCGATGAGTTCGCAATCGCGCATGACCCGCGGCTAAGGGAATGCGGTTTCTGGACGGTTTTAGCGCATTCTAGCTCTCCTTCTCTCTCTCTCTCTCTCTCTCTCTCTCTCTCTCTCTCTCTCTCTCTCTCTCTCTCTCTCTCTCTCTCTTTCTCTCTCTCTCTCTCTCTCTCTCTCTCTCTATCTCTCTCTCTCTCTCTCTCTCTCTCTCTCTCTTTCTCTCTTTCTCTCTCTCTCCCGCGCGCGCGCGCGCCAACAGCCCCAGGCTCTATTCATCATTGTACTCTTTCTTGTACGGTATGTTCTAGCCTTCCTCGCGACCACCGCTCCTCCCCATCGCCCTCTTCATCACGCCAAATCCACTACTACCGCCATCACCACTACCACCACCATAACCACCACCACCAACACCACCGTCACTACCGCTAACACTAGCGCAAGTACCGCCGTAAAACCCCCGATAAAGCATTCGGTTCATACGACCGTCCATCACCTACCTACGTCGGGCGCTGCCGCTGCGGCCAGGCCGGAGCGTGTTAAAGATTTAAGCCGGTGCCAAGGTGCGAACGAGGCTCAGGCAAAATTGGCCCGCGGGCATCCAGCAGCTGCGGCTGCAGCCGCCGGCGATGATCCATCCAAATCATCCTCCGATAGTCGATCCGCGTCAAATCGAGCCGCTACTGCCGCCCAAGCTAGTAAGTAGCATGCTGCCGGTTAAGTCTCGGTCTAATCTTGTTTTCTCATATTACGTCGTCCAGTTAGCGTGTCTTTTGCTTCGTGTGCTCGCTGTTCTATGTATATAATACTGCTCCGTTTTGTTATAGACGTTGGTTGTGAAGCCCTGGTTGGTGTAAGATCTCTCTCTCTCTCTCTCTCTCTCTCTCTCTCTCTCTCTCTCTCTCTCTCTCTCTCTCTCTCTCTCTCTCTCTCTCTCTTTCTCTCTCTCTCTCTCTCTCTGTCTGTCTGTCTATCTCTTTCTATGTATGCCTCTGTATTTCTCACTCACTGATCTGTGCCTCTCGCTGCCTCTCTTCCTCTTCTGTTCTCTCTTTCTGTACTCTAGCGATTGCCTCAGTCCTTTGTCGTGTTGCATGGTACGTTGTGCGAGCGTCGATTTTGCGAATGCAATACCCGTGAATTCGCAGCGCAGTATAGAGCATCGTGTCGTCTTCCCTGTTCTTTAGGATGAAAGATCAGCGCAAACGTCCCAGACGACACTCAAAGGGTGAGCTGTATGTTATTTTCTGATGAATTATAAGAAATGAAGTGAAAGTCACTTTGCAAAGTCGTGTATTTTCTTACCAAAGGATTGTCGTCTTTTACGTCGATGACATGGCATTATTTGCAACACGTCGTGGAAAATTTACCATGTACCAAGATTCCGTCGTTAAGCGTACGTCGAACAAAAAATGGAACGCGCGCGTGAGCACACACATTTCTCACTAATCCGCGGCTTATTCAGCCTATTGATTGAGTTGGGTAATCGACGCTCAAATGCACGTATCAACGATCACCTCCCGACAACGAATGCACTCGATATTCCTCGAGAAACCTCCTTGAAAAATCGCAATCGCTACGTCCAGATTTCCCTCCCCCCTCTCTCTTTCTCTCTCTCCCCCCCCCTCTCTCTCTCTCTCTCTCCCTCTGCCGAACACTGAACCGTAATCCGCCATACTGTGTGCGATGTGCAAAAATGTTGCAATTTGCGAGTGACCACGTCGATGGAGAAACGCACGGCACTCTTGACGGGCAAGATTCTCGCGAATCTTACTGCCGTCGAATATGAACACTTCTCCCTACCACGACTTTCCACTTTATACGTACAGGGTGTAACATCAACATACAGGTCAGTACGACGGGCTGCCCGCCCTCATTCGGATGATAATGCAGAGGTTGTCGAAAAAGTCACTCGTTGATTTTGTCGTTAATGATATTTGCAGTGCTCCTAGTTATGATGAATGCAATTTATTGTAATTTTGCAGGCGAATCGTTAATGATAGGAGCTAAGCTTTATTGAGAACTCCTCATTAGAGTGTAGCTCATTAGAGAATGCTCGTATTCTGAAGTCTTTTGATCGAAAAAAGTGATTGCGAAAGCTTGAAAAAACAAACGCTACTTTTGATAAAACGGACATCAAAATACGAGATCATGTACCGAAAATATATCGCTTAATAGTTATCACTGATTAAGTTGCGATCAGTAAATTATGCTGCGTTTCCGGTCGATACATGTTTTCGCAGAAGCGACCTATTCGAAAAGCGATGGAACACAGTATATAAGACTTCTAAATATTTCTGTACCATTTCTTTCTAATCTCCAATTCCTATCGAATTTTCCAATGCGAGAAAGAAATTAAGAAATTACACGAAACAAGAGAAAATATGTTGCATTATTTACTCCCCTAACTGTTACTCTTATTTGCTCTGCTTGAATTCGTAATGTTCATTTCTCAGTTTCGGTTTTTTAAACATTTTCTTTTTTTCTATTTAATGAGACTCGGCTAATGTCACAAACGATCACAGTGCGACATTAGTCGCACTCGTTATAACAACTGGGAGCACTTCAGATATCATTGTCGACGAGTGACTTTTTCGACAATCTCTGCCTTATCATTCGAATCGGGGTGGGCAACCCGTTGTATGATCTATATGTTGACCCTGTACACCCTGTATAAAGAGCATACTTGTATGTAAGTCTTATCGACGTACGTACGTAGCAGCCGCGAGTCGCAACTGTTCAGCCGCGTACTCTTCGAAATTTTCGCCAAGTCGTGCTTTGTCGCGAACGACGATTCGAGGGAACTTTGGGAGGAACGAATTTTTCTCTCGGAGCAACTTCCGTACCGCGCCGACACGTAACATCGGAAAGTCTCGGGAATTAGATAGAAAAAAAAAGAAAAGAAAAAACGAGCTACGAGCTACGTTGCGGACGCACCGCAACTTTTATCGGCCGCACACGGCGGCGTCCTTTATTGGACATTTTTGGCGAAACTACAAATTGCGCTTGTATATAACGGAGTCTCGGGTCTCGATCTTTCGTCCTCGCTCGTACGGCACGAAACGGTACGCATCGCCAGATCTGTCTTGCTCGCGCGAAAGGTACTTCATCGTCTGTTTCTCTTCCTCGTCGTGGAATCGAATCAAGTCTCGCGACGACGAAGCCGGGCGCTTCGCGCGCGGTCGTAAAAGCGCGACGGTTGCGTTTCCGGCGCGAGAAGAGTCGCGCGCGGATCTTCTGCAAATCGGCTCGGATTACTTTCGAAATGCTCATGTACGTCGGATTACTCTACGTTCGACTTTTTGGCCGATGCATTATGTGCGTTTTTTTTTTCGTCGTGTATTCGGTAATTCGCAATCGGTAATTCGTCTCGATCGCGTGGTCGTTGTGCTTCTTTCGGTTCTTCTCGAGCACCTCGAGCGGAAAGTCTCGCGTATTAATGGCTCCGGAGTGGGCGATAGCCGCAGGCTCGACGAAGCATGATCGGAAAATAGGGAAAATGCTGAACATAGTTTCCCGTTCGCGCTCCTCGAAAGGCGGCCATCGAAAATCCATCTGGCGGGAGAAGTGATTTCTTCGCTGAAAGGACCGAGAGAGAGCACCGCCGAAACGACTCTTCAGCCTGATTCGAGGCGTGCGCCGTCGATATTCTCGGCGATGCACGCCTCGAATGTGTCCGCAGACGGCGGCGGCGCTTGATTTATTATTCTCGCGATACGCGAACGCTTCGTCCGTGAGACTGTGATAATTGGGGCAATCGTCGAGAGCGATGGCACACGCGAGGCGCGAGATGAGACGTCTCGATCGCGCAATCTACACGCACACTCGACGAATCGTTTCGGCCAGTCAAAGCGAGAATAACAAATTGTCTCTATGTTAAGTCCTTTGTCAACCTGTTGCGCGACACTCTCACACCTGCACACCCACACACGCGCCTATATATATATATATATATATATATATATATATAATACATATGTATACAAGATGTCCCACGATATCACCGTAAAGGATCTCAGCAGCATATTCCGGAGGAGGTTGATTAAAGTCGGCGATCCCACCGCGCGCGGGAGTGTCCAGGTGTCGCGGTGATTTTTCAGTTCCGTTCCGAGCGGACTTGATGTCGCGCTGCCGAGTCTGCCGAGAACGACAAAATCTGCTGGATGAGAGAAATCGATTCGGCGCAATAATTACGCAAGAATTACGCTGGCTGAATCGTGCACAAACTCGCGCGCGACGTTAAGAGGGGGGGAATTACATGCGGAAGGTCGTTTTCAGGATTATTTTTATGGATTAACTTTTTGAAGAGAAACGGCAAGACTTGAGTGGACTCGAAATTTTCACAGTGTATTCTCTCATTAATGTTCAAAGTATAAAGTAAATTTTATCGAATCACAAGAACCGATCCAGTTTGTAATTACATCAGATAAAAATGCAGTCATTCGTTTACGAGTTCTATGTTCGTTGCCGACATAATTCCGGGCCTTTCACTATTCTGAGACCAAAAAAAGGGGAAGGATTTTTAAAATATACGGTTGCCATTATAGCCCGTACCAAAATGAGGGCAGTGAAGCCAAAGTCTGGAAAAATAATTATTGTGAACAAAAATAAAGTATCGAAAATGAAACTTCTTTCAATCTGTAATCATGTTTAAAACAAAAATGAACAAAATAAAATGTAACTGTGTTCAGAACTACATGTATATTCGATTCAGTAGCTTTTGCATAATCGTGTCGGCAGTTTAAGAAAAGGGTGTTTCCAGTTTAAAACGCGTTTAAAGTTTTATCCATATTTTCCATATAGATAGTAAGAAATTTATATTTTATACTTTGAACACATTAATGAATACACTGTGAAAATTTCAAGTCCATCGATCCTACCGTTTCTGCTCGAAAAGAATTCGCAAAAATAGCTTTTGAAACGGCCTGCTCCGCGTGTGATTCCCCCCTTAAAACGGGTCGAGATTCCAATCGCTTGTAACTCGGGAGATCATCGCGCAACCTCGACGTTTCCGTGCACTATATGCGTATATAATAGATATCTGCATTGTTCCTCTTTCTCTCCATGTTTGTGCATCTATATGTTGTTATACGTATCTTTTTTTCTACGTATCTATATTGCATCCTGAGTACGCTAGTGTACTATCCGGGATATACATACATAAATATGTACAGGGTGTCCCAAAAGTAACGGACCACCCTAATAACTCTTCGATATTGAAGTTTCAAGGAAAATGATCTGAATAAAAATTGTAGGGATTTAAGTGAGCTACCTTATGATGACCTTGACCTCTATTTTCAAGGTCATTTGAAGGTCAACTTGCGTTTTTTGGAAATCCTTATTTTTTATTGTGTTGTGTTATACTGTTTTCTTCTACCAGTTAATTTGAACAACTTTTGTCTAGAATATCTTTTCATTTGTCTAATAGTTTTTGAGATATTTGAGGAAAACTTGATAACTTTTTCAATACTTAACTTACGATATCTCGCTATTTGTCGGGAGAAAAAGCGATACGAGACTTTCTTGCGCTTTATTTAATCTCAAGAATATATTGTTACAATAGCGCCCTGACTTTTGTTAATTTACTGACTTTTGGAAGTTTCAAAATCATCAAACAATATATTCTTGAGACTAAATAAAGCGCAAGAAAGTCTCGTATCACTTTTTCTCCCGACAAATAGTTAGCGAGATGTCGTAAGTTAAATATTGAAAAAGTTATCAAGTTTTCCTCAAATATGTCGAAAAATATTAGACAAATGAACAAATATTTTAGACAAAAGTTGTTCAAATTAACTAGTAGAAAAAAAACAGTGTAATAAAAAATAAGGGTTCCCATTTAAAAACACGCAAGTTGACCTTCAAATGACCTTCAAATTACCTTGAAAATAGAGGTCAAGATGAAAGTCAAGGTCATCATAAGGTAACTCACTTAAATCCCTACAACTTTTATTCAGATCATTTTCTTTGAAACTTAAATACTGAAGAGTTATTAGGAGGGTGGTCCGTTACTTTTGGGACACCCTGTATGTATATATATATATATATATATATATATATATTTATATATATATATATATTTATATATATATATATATATATATATACTATACTCGCAGTGTTTCTAGGTGTAGTTTCTTACTCGCACTCGAGAAGAGTCCGCCTGTACTCGATGTCACGATTAAGAGTGGGCTTCGTTTAACGCCAACGAATGTTTCAAGGCGACGGACAGACCGATCAGATTGGTTTGTCCGACACCTTACTGCATTCGCAACGTCGAGCTGAGCCTGCCCCAAGTCCCCCGATCTTTCAGCCGGAACGTCGAGGGAAGGGTGTGCGTAAAAAGTACCGCAGCTAATTCGCGGACGGGAAAACATCCGACGGCGAAGGTCGGCGAAGTCGTGTCTCGTCGCAGCAGCGCGGAATGTTCAATTTTTTTCAGTGTTAACCCGGTGCCTACTCACTGACGTGTATCCTAGATATTTTTCACACGCCGGAAGATAAATGGTGGCGAGAAAATCCGATGCTTCGATATCACTCGCCGCTCGAACTCTTCCGCTGACATTACGTGACATTAAGTACGCGCGCTCTCGCCTAGCCGCCCGTCGAAGTTCGAAGTCGAGAAAATGAAAAGATTAATAATGCTGATTGTCAGTATCTACATATTATTATGTTGTCAATCGTGAATATTTATCAAAGGTTTCAGAATTGTAATACAGAAATTGCTTGTTTGTAACAAACGACGAAAAAGAATTTACTTAATAACAACAAAATTTATTTATTAACAAAAATTTCAATCCCTAACATTTAATTTTGATTCTCCACTTTAATCGCAATCGTTTCATTCGGCGAGACGCGGGGTCGGTCGCAGCGAAAGGGTTGCTCTCTCTCCCGGTCACCTGTAATTGGTCACTGGTTGTATTGTGCATACCGCATTTGCAATAGTTAAAGCGGATTGGCGAGTTAGTCCCCCGAGTGGCACTACCGATCATGTAACTCGTAACTACTCCTCATAACATTGCAACTCCCCCCTGTAATTCACACGAACGCAAACACCTTGATGTTAAGTTGCCAACTCGATGTTCCGACTGCGAGCGCGCTGCTGCGACAATGACAACGAGTGGGAATACACAATAAACTATTCGTACACGGTCTCGCGAATGATTATTTGATGTTGTCAAGCCGAAGCGAGTGGCTCTATTCCATAGAGCGAAATTCCGCAGTCGTCCGATGTCGATGAATTCGCGAGAACGAGAACATATCCCGGGTGCGGGAGAGACTAGTAAATTGATCAGGCGAATTCCGATCGCCGTCGCCCTTGAATCCATCGAGTGCAAGCTTCGCGGGGTCACGGGATGGGAAAGAGAGGACGGGCAGGCTCTACGTCGGCATTAAAGCGCCGGTCAAACGTTCCAGTGACGGCCGAGCCGCAGGTAAACGGGGATGTCACCGGCGGGGACTCGAGCGTCGCGTCGACGCCGCCGTCGCAGACAACGCAGGCACCAGCGCCTGCCACGGCAAGTCCGTGGCTGGACGACGAGCCGGTGGTAAAAAGCCCGCCGGAGCCGACCAGGGTAAAGTCGCCGGAGCAGATGATCATGCGCTCGCCGGAGCCCGTAAACTGGACCGTGCCTCTCGACACCGGCAAGACCTTCACCGTTACGCAAAACGTCCGAGAGGGTAAGACCAAGCTCATCATCATCTCGCGCGCACTCGATTGCCTTCCTTCTTTCGGACTTTCGTCCGACTGATCATTCACATGTTGCTTCGACATTTGTCCAAGTTGCTTCGAAGATTGTAAGTGGTAACCAACATATTCGATGTCTCACGGAATTTTCTTCTGACTGTTCTTGCCGAAGAGCCCCTAACGCGTCCGCATAGCGAGGCGAAGACGTGGGCACCGTCGTCGGTACCATCGGCGCCGCAGTCGGCACCGCCGGAGCTCGCGGCACAGCACAAATCGCAGCACTCCCAGCACTCCGGTTACAAGTCGCCCGAGAGCGAGAGCGTTTCGCTCGGTAGTTTTAGCGGCATCAACGGACATAAGGATCTGGACTCGGAAAGGGACAGCCCATTACCCACGACCGCTCCGGACACACTCACGAAGAGAGAAAAGGTCAGGAACGAGTCAGCCGATACATTTCTCCTGCTTCGACTACCGTGAGAGATCGGTTAATTTATTAATTCGTGCACTTGTGTGAAATATTACTAGCATACGAAATAGGGCGCAGAGTTCACATTTATTTATCGACGTTGACGTTTTCTGATCTTATTTAATACACAAATTACCTTATTCGGGACCATTTCCACGTGCGGTTCCAGGAGGTCGCCGACACCGCCGAAGAGACCAAGGAACGGCAAAGCCCAGAGCCGTCGATAAAACCGGTGGCGGGCACGTACCTGAGATGTCTGGAGGATCCGATGTTCGAGCTCGAGAGAAAGAAACAGGAAAGCGGCCGCCTGCCGACTACCACGACTGCGCCGATGACGACGTCGATGACTACGACGACGACGACGACGACGACGACAACGGCGCCGTCACCCGCGCCGCAACAGAGTTATCGTGTTCTCGAGGCCGAGTCGCCCCAGACTGGTGGTGGTGGTGGTACCGCGGGCGCCGGAGACACCCCGGTTACCACCGGCAGCACCGCGGGCGGTTATCACGTGTTAGAAGCGTCTCCGGTAGTGCCAGGCTCGGCGCAGCGTTCGGCAGCGAGCGACGTTCTAGAGAAAGCGCGAAATCGCTTCGACAAGTTTTGGGGAAAGGGCAACAACGACACGGAGAATTAGAGACATCGCGTCCTTGAAACTGCGGGAAATGGCAAGTGGTAAAAGAAGAGGAGGAGAAGAAGGAGGAAGAGGAAGAGAGGAAGGAGAAGTAGGAAGACGCTCCGACGGATTCCACATTCCCGTTGAAGGATCCCTCGTCCCGGCAAGACGGAGTGACTCTTTTCGGGAGAGAGAAAGAGAGAGAGAGAGAGAGAGAAAGAAAGAGAGAGAGAG